CAGCCAAATAACATTTTTGAAAGAGAAGAATGTAGAACAAGCTTTTTTTTGGGGGAAAAAATGCCCCCTGGCTAGGTTTTTTTTGCCATGGTTTTGTCATGACCGATAAACTCTAACACAGCAAATGCCACTAAAATTTATTCTGAATATTTATCTTTTTTTCAAGGCTTATTTAAAAAGTAATATGTTATTCTCCATGGGGAAGTGGGGAAGACTCCTTCTTTATGTATTTGGAATGTATGTAAATTTTTCCTCAGTGCACATCATCATGTCTTTTTCATCACCTGATTTTTTTTCCCCGGGTGCTTATCAGGAGCCACATGAAGAGAACGTGATGCGGTGAAGCAAAAAAATTAGCATGAAAAATGACTTTTGAAAAAAAACTGGGGGTATCCGGATGCTGAAGGGTGCAGCGTCATAGACAGCCGTGTTAGAACTCCCTACATTTAAAATGGGCCCGTGAGGTAAAGATAAAGGCTTTGCAATGAAAATTTAAAAACAAAAGAAAACAAATGGGAAAAGTCATACGGTAAAAAAACCCAAATGGTAGATTGAAAAAAAAAAAGAGAGGTTCCCTTGGGCCCTTTTTATCAGGGAAGAAAACCTTACCATACTATAAAAAGTACGTGGGAGGAAAAACAACCCAAAAAGAGCCAATTTACTTTTTGGCGGTTCAATGGGTTTTGAAAATGCGGTGGTTTTTATTATATAAAATTTAGTGGGGAAAGGCCTCTGCTGTCCATGTGATGTAGACAAATTCCCGGTTGAGCAGCAACTTTTCTCTGAAGGTGGCTACAAATCAGCAGGGATTTTAAAGCTGACAGACAGATTTTTTCTGGAAAATATGAATCTAGAAAATACATGCAAAAAGAGAAAATTACTGCTAGATTTAAAAACCCCAAAAAAACGTTTCGCTTGCTTCTTTACAGTAACACATTGAATCTTTACACACATGCCCTTTTTGTTTATTATCCCCAAAATCCACTTTCATTACAAGGTAAAGGTTTAACATATTGCCTTTTTTTTGGGGAAAAATTTAATGCCCCCAGCATGGTGATGACCTTTTTCACCCGAGTGGTTCAAAGCATCAATTTTTTCAAAGAAGAATGTACCTGCCCTGAAAAATCTTGCATAATGGGTTCTCCTATCCTTGATAATTTGGGTAGTCTTCCTCAACTCCGGAGGATGCTGAGCCAGGATGAAATTGTATTTTTTTTACCCCCAAAAACAAACCCTTTAACAACAACTGGATCAAGGGGGTTTTCATAACAACAAGTATACTACACATGAAGTGTCATGCAGAAACTAGGGCAGCACTTGATCATGAACAAAAATAGTGGGGTTTGATCTGGGGGGGCCAAATTTTAAAATTGCAGATGCTGGATCTTGTAGCCCAAAATCAGCATTAAATTTTGGTTTAAGAAAAATATGGGTGTGGTGAATGATTTTACAGGTTTTCTACAATGGAAAATCAGAAATTTGGAAATGTATCTGGGAAGGGAAAAAAGTTGAAATTTTAAGCATGAAAACGTGAATCAAAGAATGCATAGATGTATGATGAGGAACCAGAGCAGAACGAAACAATGGGATGAAGAACCAGAACCTGAATATATGCTGACACTACAAGGAAAACCGAATACTGCATATTGTTGGTAAGTTTCAGTCTTTTTACTGAAAAAGGGCCCTGAAGCTTCCTGTAAAAAACCTTTAAACAGGGCCCGGGCCTTTTCATCAGCAGTATAAAGAACCTCAGGGGTAAAAAAAAATAAGCGTGATGGCAGGTGCCGAGGCTCCACTACAACAATTAGTGAGAAACTGCATGAACTCACAAGACCTGACCTTCAACATCACAAGATCCACGATCTTCAACATCACAAGATCCACGGCCTTCAAATCACAAGATCCACGGCCTCCAACATCACAAGATCCAAGGGCCTCCAACATCACAAGATCCATGGCCTCCAACATCACAAGACCCACGATCTTCAACATCACAAGATCACGACCTTCAACATCACAAGATCTACGACCTTAACATCAAAAGATCTATGACCTTCAACATCACAAGATCCACACCCTTCAAATCACAAGGTCACGACCTTACATCACAAGATCCACGACTTCACCATCACAAGATCCACGACCTTCACCATCAAAGATCCACGACCTTCCCATCAAAAGATCCACGACCTTCAACACACAAGGTCCACGACCTTTAACATCACAAGGGGTCCATGACCTTCAACATCACAAGATCCATGACCTTCAACTCACAAGATCCATGACCTTCAAATCACAAGATCCATGACCTTCAACATAAACAAGATCCACGACCTTTCCCAATCACAAGATCCATGACCTTCCCATCAAAAAGATCCACGACCTTCACCATTAAAGATCCACGGCCTTCAACATCACAAGATCCAGGGCCCTTCAACACCATAAGATCGCAAACCCTTTCACCATCACAAGATGCCCAAACCCTTCATCCCAAGATCACCAACCTTCAGCATCACAAGATCCCAACTTCAAATCACAAGATCACCAACCTTCAACATCACAAGTTCACCAACCTTCAACTTCACAAGACCTTCACCATCACAAGACCACCAACCTTCACCATCACAAGACCACCAACCTTCACCATCACAAGAGCACCAACCTTCACCATCACAAGATCACCAACCTCACTATCACAAGGTCACCAACCTTCACCATCACAAGATCACCAACCTTCAACATACAAGATCACCAACCTTCACCATCACAAGATCCCCAAACCCTTTCACCATCACAAGATCACCAATCTTCACCATCACAAGATCCCCAATCTTCACCACACAAAGATCACCAATCTTCACCATCACAAGATCACCAACCTTCAACATCACAAGATCACCAACCTTCGCCTCACAGATCACCAATCTTCACCATCACAAGAGCACCAACCTTCCCCATCACAAGTCCCCAACCTTATATACAAGATCACCAACTTTCCCCACCCAAAAGGTCCCCAACCTTCACCATCACAAGATCACCAACCTTCAAATCAAAAGGGATCACCAACCTTCACCATCACAGATCCCCAAACCTTCCCCTCACAAAACCCAAAACCTAACCATTCCCTCCCCCCAGTGGGAAAATGGCCCCCTCTCCACTCAAAATCACGATTTTAAAGACCCCCTACCCATTCGAAAGAAAAAATACGTGGATCCTCATTTTTCATAAGGCTCGAAAGCCGTAATTTTTTGGGAAAAATCGTAATTGTTTTCGTAAAAAACTTTACTGCAAATTGGTCTTCGTCTGGGAGCGTACGCACGGCCCCATGCCCCCACACTCCATTCCACCCAGTGTCCCTTTGTTTTCATGATTGGGATTTTCCACAAGTTCATATGAAATTACATAATTTTCATTTGTTTTAGTGCTTGCAATTGCTAAATAAGCCCCAGGGCCCCAAAAAAAGCTTAGTGCCATCCTTTGGAAAAGAATGTGAGAAAAACATATAAATTTAAGAAAAAATTTTGTGAAAAACACAAAAAATGTGGGGGTAGAGAGTGGTGTGGGGTTTGGTAGAGGGTGGTGTGTGGGGGTAGCATTGTGTAATGGTAGAGGGTGGTAGTGTGGTGGTAGAGGGTGGTGCATTGTGTTGGTAGAGGGGGGTTTTAGTGATGGTGGTTGGAAGTTGTGTAGTGGTAGAGGATTTATGATGGTAGTAGGAGTTGTGTGTGGTAGAGGGTGGTAGTGGTTGAGAGGGGTAAAGGGTCCCTTCTTCAGTGTTCAGAAATTTTTTTACTAACTCCCCAATTGTTGGGTTTATAGGGCTACAGAAAACACTGCTTGCCCCTTGCGCAGCCTTCACCACCATTGTGGACGCTTATGTCTCAGTGGCCCCTTTTACACCCAAAAAAACAGAAGCCTTTGTGAAAATAATGACTTATTTTATTTATTTTAGAGTATATTCATGTTTCTATGTTATTAAAATTTTTTTTTATGTTTATTTTTTTGAAAATGTGATAGATAAATAAATGTTTGATTGAAAATTAGTGTCACTTTTCCCCAAAAAAAACTGCCCTCTCCCCCCTCTGCCCCCTCTGCCTACACCAACAAGAGTCTTTCAATAAAGGTAAGTGTGATGTTAACCCCAAATTTCAAACTTAGAAACTATTTTTTTTTTCATTTGAAAAACATGTAAAAAAATGTAGGTCTTCTCTTTTTTTAAATTGAAAAGCACGTTTAAAAAAAAGAAGGTTTTCTCTTTTTTAATTTGAAGAGTAAAAAAAACGTTTAAATTTCTTTTGGACGGTAACATGTAAAGTGATCTTGTTTGGAAGTTTAAGGGTTTAAATGTTATTTATTTCATTTTATAGGGTTTACATTTATCTGGCATTCTTTTTGCATGTAAAAACTATATTTAAACTAGGGGAAATGACCCCCCAAATGACCCAGGTCCTTATGGAGGGGGATTCCCTTCCCAAAAAAACCTTCTTCCCTCTCTCCTTTTCCCTGTTTCCCCTTTTATCAAAACAGCCTTTAAATAAAAAACTGTTTTGAAGTTCATTTTTTGTGCATGTAAAACCTTCTTTTGGTAAAAAAAAAAAATTTTTGTGATTCTTCTGGGGTTTTTGGAACAAATTTAAATTGGATTTCTTTTTCTTATGAGGAAAATGGATTCACAAAATTTTCAATTTTGTAATAGTCACCTCTGGAACAGATTAAATTCAAAAAACCCGGGTCCACTTAACAAATATATACAATTTATGAAATTTTTTTTTTAGTTGCTGTATCTTTCTTTTTTAAAGTTGGGAATCTCACTCGACTTAAGGTATTACATAGAGCATCTTCATCAACAAAATTAGGTACAAAAATATTATTTTTGTAAGAATTCTGATAGTAAACAAAATTAGTTTGGGGTATCTGAGGTCTAAGGAATGCAAATAAATTTTCCCATATGTTTTCAAGTCCATACATCATGGAAATCATTGGTAACACAGCTATCCAGAACGTAATCTGTGAGGTTCTAACTTACCTGATTTTTCACAGGTGTGACAACACCCTGGTTCCTCCAGTCAAACTCATTAGGTAATTCAATATCTTCAGGGATGACAGCTGGTCTCATGGCTGATAACTCTGGCTGCAAGTCATGACGTAAGCCCAGCATCTTGCGGAATTCTTGCTCTGCAAGTGATATTGAAGGTACTGTATAGGTACTGTAAACCTAAGAATAACATTTATTTTAAATACACAACATATCTGGATTGACCAAGTGATCAACAGGAAAGTTTGGCCCAGGCCAGACTGTGAAGGTAGAAGAGCCTTTGAAAATCCTAACAGGTATATCACAAATAAATAATGAAAATATTCTCATGGCTGATACACCTCTGATGAGTTTTGAGTCTTCCTACTCCTGGAGTACAGCCATGGGCCAGGCACGGTAAAAGTATATCACAAATAAATAAATTGAATACATACAATCAAGCCTAAGAATTCATGGATATTAGCCACGTTCCAGGGGACACTGACCCCCGGAACACCCTCTGAAAAAAAAGTGTGTTCAAGGATAATTCTGGTACTGCTACATTGCTTTAAACTGTTGGGGAATATGAGTAAGTGATGTGCACATGTAATGTAAGAATCCCTTCTACAAATGACATTACACTGTGTGAGCACGTAAGATGAGAGAGATGATGTGGAAGGATGTTCGGTCATCTTGGCATGTCAGAGCAGCTGCTGGTGGTACGACATGTAGTGTTGGGAGGGCAGCTGATAATGTCATGAGTGTTGGTGGTGCTTCATGAGGTGCTGGCAGTGCAACTAGTAGTGTCAGAAGTGTTGGTGGTGCCTCATGAGTTGCTGGCAGTGCATCGGAGGTATCAGGAGTGTTGGTGGTGCCTCATGAGGTGCTGGCAATGCAATTGGTGGTGTCAGGGCTTCTAGTATCAGGGCTAAAAGGGTGTCACATGTGTTATATTTACATTTTATATCAGAATTACACTCATCAGTATTATCTGAATCAGTGCTTTGCTGCCAGTCACTGTGAGAATACCTGACTGAAGCAATTTTACCCTTAACAAACAAGACAAACAATAAACAAACTTAATTTCTCTAAAGTATGGTACGTATATCTAATTAGTGTGTCTGACATATATAAACAACTTTATAGAAAGCCGCTTATTAGGCACGGCTTTTGGGCAACCATAAAAACTAAACTATGATTACAAGTATATGAGAATAAGAACTGCTGGTAATGAGAACCTAGTAACCCCTTTTACTGTGTACATATATGTTACTGAATTTAAAAAGAGAAACTTTCAACTTTCTCTTTGGGCACCCTGCCTCTGTGGGATACAACCAGTGTGTTGAACGAAGAAGAGAATAAAAATACAGCCTCTCCTCACTTAGCGACGTATTTGTTTACTGATGACTCAGATTTATGACAGGCTCTCTGGCCAGTATACCTAAATAATAAATATTAGAGGTGATTTCCTATATTCTGTTTATTACAATATACAGTACAATACTGTATTAACATTTAAAAGTATACTAAACTGTTATAAATGGTGCAAGGGTGACATTAAAGCAATATCAAAGACAGGTGACATTAAAGCAATATCAAAGACGGGTGACATAAACCCATAGTATACTCCTCGTTTAGTGACAAATTCGTTTACCGACTCGTTAAGTGAGGAGAGGCTATACATTGTTTTTAAAACATTGGAGATATTTAATAATTAAATAAAAAAATTATATTACAGTGGTACCCCGAGTTTCAAACTGCTCATAACTCGAACAATTATGTAAGTGTATTTGTGTAAGTGCATTTGTAAGTGTATTTTTGAGGGTCAGAAACGGACTAATCTTCTTTCTTTCTTTCTTTCTTTCAACACACCGGCCGTATCCCACCGAGGCGGGGTGGCTCAAAAAAAAAAAAAAAGTTTCTCCTTTTTTTTTTTTTTTTTTTTTTTTTCAACAAGTTGGTCGTCTCCCACCAAAGGCAGTAATATATACAGGAGAAGGGGGTTACTAGCCCCTTGCTCCTGGCATTTTAATCGTCTCTTACAACACGCATGGCTTATGGAGGAAGAATTCTGTTCTACTTCCCCACGGAGGTAAGAGGAAATAAACAAGAACTAGAAAGAAAATAGAAGAAAACCCAGAGAAGTGTGTATATATGTGCTTGTACATGTATGTGTAGTGTGACTTAAGTGTAAGTAGAAGTAGCAAGACATACCTGAAATCTTGCAAGTTCATGAAACAGAAAAAAGGACACCAGCAATCTACCATCATGTAAAACAATTACAGACTTTCGTTTTACACTCACTTGGCAGGACAGTAGTACCTCACTGGGCGGCTGCTGTCTACCAACCTACTAATTGAGGTATATGTGGAGACAAAAAACATTATCTATGGAGGCAAAGAAGGGAATGTATGAAAGTATAGTGGTACCAACACTCTTATATGGGTGTGAAGCTTGGGTTGTAAATGCTACAGTGAGGAGGCTGTTGGAGGCAGTGGAGATGTCCTGTCTAAGGGCAATGTGTGGTGTAAATATTATGCAGAAAATTCGGAGTGTGGAAATTAGGAGAAGGTGTGGAGTTAATAAAAGTATTAGTCAGAGGTCTGAAGAGGGGTTGTTGAGGTGGTTTGGTCATTTAGAGAGAATGGATCAAATAGAATGACATGGAGAGCGTATTAATCTGTAGGGGAAGGAAGGTGGGGTAGGGGTTGTCCTCGAAAAGTTTGGAGAGAGGGGGTAAAGGGAAGTTTTGTGGGCGAGGGACTTGAACTTCCAGCAAGCATGTGTGAGCGTGTTAGATAGGAGTAAATGGAGACAAATGGTATTTGGGACCTGACGAGCTGTTGGAGTGTGAGCAGGGTAATATTTAGTGAAGGGATTCAGGGAAACCAGTTATTTTTATATAGCCGGACTTGAGTACTGGAAATGGGAAGTACAATGCCTGCACTTTAAAGGAGGGGTATGGGATATTGGCACTTTGGAGGTATATGTTGTGTATCTTTATACGTACGTACATGCTTCTAAACTGTTGTATTCTGAGCACCTCTGCAAAAACAGTGATGATGTACGAGTGAGGTGAAAGTGTTGAATGACGATGAAAGTATTTTCTTTTTGAGGATTTTCTTTCTTTTTGGGTCACCCTACCTCAGTGGGAGACGGCCGACTTGTTAAAAAAAAAAATTATTATTATTATTATTATTATCAATTGAAGCACTAAACCATTTATTGAAAGAAAAATTCTATTATATATGTCAGAGTTACTTACCGGTAAGATCAGCAAATTTGGTGGATCCATATGTTGCTGAGCCTCTCTCATTCTGCTGAAGAATGTGAACTTTTTTCATGTTCTGGCGGAAAATGTTGAACCTTTTCTTAAATTCTGCCTGACTCTTGTATGCCTTGTTGTGCTGCTTCATGAAGGTCTTAAAGACGCCAATGTGAGTTAAATCATGAGTGCCTCCAATTTTCTGTTGGCAAATGGAAGAAAAGTACATTAAAATTTCTTGAAAATGTCTACTGATAGTTACACATAAACATCACATACAATTAAAGGTTTTAATGGTAATTACCTTTATGAAACAGTAAACTTTCAAGCTAAAAGGTACTCTAAATTTTTAATAAAAAAGCAAATATGGATACAGCATTTACTGGTAGTAAGGAAAATATGTCAAGAAATTGTTATTACAGCTAGCCCTCCACTTTCGCGAGCTTTGAACATTCACGAATGCCCAGCTGCCCAATCATATTTACCAAACAAATGCGGGAAAAAGTATGGGAAACCGCGTCCCTACTACCCTCCCTCTTACCCCATCAACAGGCAGCCTGCCAGTCCACCACTCACTCAGTCATTGTCCTGCTTGCCCCCAAGCAAGCAGCAACCTCTATTGATGAGCCAGCCCCTAAGCGCTCTAAGAAAGTCGTAAATCTGGAGAAGGTGAAATTGCTAGACAAGTGTAGGGCAGGTTATTTGAGCAATTCTGCCATTGGCTAACTATCATCACCATCATCACCGTCACTGTCATCATCATCACAAGTTGTCAGAGTTTGTCTGCCTAACCTTATGAATGGTGAATGTTTTATTTATTAATTTTTTGTTATTAAACCTTAACATGTATATAGTACACTATTTTACAATGTTTTTGTGTGTTTTATGATTGTTCGTGGTTCAATAGGTTAAGGAAGCAATACTGTTAGGCTAAGTAAATATAATTACTATATTTCCCTACAAAATATATTTGCGCCTCAAAACATTTGCAAATGCTGCCATACAGTTCTTTTGTTCTAGAAGGCTGTTCGAGTGCTGATACCAAACAAATTTGTCCCCCGTAAGAAATAATGTAAATTAGATTAGTCTGTTTCAGACCCCCAAAAATACACTTACAAAAGCACTTGCATAAATACACTTACATAACTGTTTGAGTTTTTAGCTGCTCGGAACCCGAGGTACCACTGTATTATTATATTTCCCTACATCATATTCGTGCACCAAACATTCATGAATTTTCAAGATTCGCAAGGTTCTTGATCCCCTAACCCCTCACAAATGTGGAGGGCCTCCTGTAGAGTAGTAATGAACTAAAATTTTATGCTCTTATTTTGGCAAGACTATTTAAATAAAAAGAATCCATATCTGATAATTACTCATTAAAACCGGAATGTTGAATAGTGTAAAAGTATGTAATACAGGTACCATCCGACTTATGACCAAGCTCGGTTCCGACCAACCGGTTGTAAGTCAAAATGGACGCAAGTCGAACCTTTGAAAATTGCTGACATACTGGGTAGGGCCTAATGTCAAACCTTTCCTATATAAACTACCTACATAGTACTGTAATGTACAATCATTATTTCATTCTTTTTACCATAATTTACTTCTATTGTTATATTTTAATTATACATGTACTGTATATAATGTATACATACATGGTAGTGAACTGTATTGCAAATTTTACATCGCATACAGTATCATATGTTACTGTTATCTTTATGTATTGTCGACACAGTGGAATGGGAGAATACCACTGGTAGTGTCATCCTGCCTGAATGTAGTATAACCTATACCCTAAGTAAAGAGAAACAACTCTGCAACATGTGTAATACGTATCCAGCCAGGTGGGTGGCCGGGTAGGTGGTCAGGTGGGTGGGTGGTTGGCTGGGTGGTTGGCTGACTGAATGTGGCTGTCTCTCTCTCTCTCTCTCTCTCTCTGTATCTTTCTATATCTATCTATATCTATCTATATCTGTATCTATATCTATCTATATCTATTATTTTTTTTTTTTTTACACAGGGTTTGACAAGGTTAAGGATCCCAAGCTTTATTGACAAGCTATTTACAGGTTAAGGATTCCTACCTTTATTGGCAAGCTAAGAGCTGTTACCTACATCAGGTCATTTGAAAGCATTTTTATTGTTATGAGACATACAAGTAGGGAACAGGATGAAGTTGGAGCCATCTGTGGGCCAGCATTTTCATTTGATCAACTGACTTTATCTCGTTGACATCATTATGCTGTACGAATGTGTTCCATACTCGAGTCATCCTGGGTATATATGATCTCAGATGGAATGATGTTCTGGAGAAGGGTACAGCCAGAGTGAAGTTGCTGCTTTCTGCCCGTCTTGTGGCATAAAAGCTTGTTTCACGCTGTCCTCGAAGTGGTCCAAGTGTGGTACTTTGACAATATTGGCCTTGTACATATATATCTATATCTATCTATCTATCTATCATTTTTTTTCTCATAGCGGCAGCGGCAGCGGCAGCAGCGACTTCCAAGCTCCGTACTTTTCTCCAACTACCAGAGCTACCAATGCTCCTATGATGACCTAGTTACAAGCAAAACTGCACTACCCAACGTAGCACCCAGAATGACCAAAGATTACCAACAGTGAAACCTACAAATCGAAAAAATAGAGATCAAAGGAAGACTGCAAACTAACCGTAAGCAACACCCCGCTGCCAGCCGAACAACGTAACCCTAAGCTTTGTTTACTACAACTTCTTCTTAACTACAACAATTCCTGTAGTATTATGAGGCGCAATCTAAGAGGAAACAGCACCAAGGCCAGCAAGAAAACACCGAAAAATCAACTATTCAACAAGTGTAGTCAGGAGGACGCCGGCCCAGCAACCACCCCACTCACCACCACTCAAGGCCACACCACAACAATAACAACAAACATGGCTGCCACCAGCCCATCCTCCCCTCTCTTCCCCGGATTCAACCTACCAAGTAGTCTCTCAGGTATGACCAACGATCCAGATACCCTAAAGTCATGCATCTCCAACTTAGTTATTGAAAATATGAATCTTCGAGAGACTCTAACAAAACAAGACACCAGGATGACACAACTCGAAAACAAAATCCTCAGTCTTGAACAAAAGTTTTCAACACCAGGAACGACTAACTGTGACAAGACCATCCAGACAGCCCATAGATAGCCATACCCAACAAATAATATCTCTTAATACAAAGGTTGAAGAAGCAGTAAAAGAATGGAAGAGCAACTTAGATAACCAGTTCAGTGACTACTTTTGCTCTCCAAGAAGATAAAACTGAACAAGATAAACTATCGGACGCAGTAATAGTTAACAGTCCACTTTTTCCCAGTGATATGAACCAAACAAACAGTAAAGAAATTACTCTGCAGATCATAAAGGACCAAACAAGTGTTATTGTACCCGAGTCAGAAATAAAAGAAGCCAGGTTACTAGGATCCCATGGTAGAAAAAGTGTTATGCTTAGTTTTCCACTCACATGACAGGAAAAAAGACTTAATTATTGCATCTATTAAAGTAAAGAAAGAGGTATATTATAAACGAGTGTCTTACCAAAAAACGTCAAAAACCTCCTGTATAGAGTCAGAAAACTTAAGCGAGAGAATAATGACACAATACACCAATGCTTCACACGGGATGGGAAAATTCTAGTTAGGAAAACAAATGTAGGTCAACTGTACACAATCACGAATGAGAATGATCTATCACGATTTCTCAGGGATACCAATCTTACAGAGAATAACTAAACAATGTCCAACTAAAAAGCCTACGTAGTGTAGTGTACGTTTTGCTCCATTATTGTTCAAATTTCATTGTACAATCTCTTAGTAATTAAATAATCAACTACCTCATTTTGTGATTTTACTGTAAGCATAGGTCACCTTATGTGATTTTGTTATTTACTATTGTTCGCTTAAACATTAGCTGAATTGATACTTTCTCTGTTCATATTACTACCTCATATTTTTTTTTTTTTTTTAAATACTATCAATTGATATTACTTACTAAAATTAATAAATATCATTTTTACTAAAATTTCAATTTACTCTTAACAATTTTGACATTTAATAACCATTACTTGTCTAATTACCTTTACCTGTTTTAATACCACATTTACTATCCTAGATTACTCTTAATTACCTTGTACTGCCATATAACCTCAAGTATAACTACCAGTGCAATATTGAATGAAATAAACATTACTTTTTCACTTTTTTTGTAATCATTATTACTTACTAAAATTTTATTAAACACCATATTTACTACCAGTCAATTTTAATTTTTTACATTAAACATTATTTTATACTTCTCATAACATTTTGTAGCCAAATTTTCAAGTTTTTATTTTCAACCCCAACCTTTATATTATCCCTTGTACCTGTGTACCTGTCTACCCTCTTACTATCATATTATAATCAAGACATTACCATTGTTATTTTTTTACTATTATTCTTTTGGTACTTTAATTGTGAATTTTATTTTGTCAATTTAAATCTAGGTATAATCTTGATCTTGTCAACAACCTATACCAGACTCTAGTGCAATTGCAAGTACCATTTCAAATTGTATTTTTATATTATAAGTTTATATTATAATTCCTACCATCTGCCCATTTAACTTTGCTTACCATTACTTAATTTTAGTCCCTTATATGTTTTCTCCTTTATTTTAGCTTTATATAACTATCCTAGTTGAAGTGCATAAAAAGACTTCAAGGAAGAATATTTGGATTTCTTCAAAATAATCAAGGTGCTATTCTTAGGTGCTAAAGTAGAATAAGTTCACAATTTTGCCATTATATTCCAAAGCTCATTTTTTTGATTACCACTTTATCGTCACCACAACCTATATTAGTCCCTTTTATATTATAATTTTATACTATAATTCTAACTTTAAAAAATTACCTTTATAGTACTATCTACTATCATATTCCCAAGCTCCACTATTTGATCATCACTTTATTTGTATTAGTCCCTTAGCTCATTATTTTACATTTGTTAAATAATCCAGGTGCTATTTTTTAGCTTAAGACTATTTACTTTGTTTTATACTTAATTCAAACTATAGATTCACTACAAATCTTATGATTAAAGCATTGATCCTGATACCAACCTCTTATTTAATGACTTAAATGAATCAAACAGTAACTGTAATTACTACACTGCAGAACAATCAAAGGCACTTCTCAG